GTCGGGCAGTTGCCAGAGTCATCCGCGATAACGCCAGGCGGATGGGACACTTACAAAACGGCACAAGGATACGGGTAACGTAGAAGAGAGTATGCGCGGAAGGAGACAAGCAACACAAGACGCGCAGTCCAGACATACACCGCAGCATCCGGAGATTCTATACGGAATGCGCCGGACGAGCTCGTCTAGTTGTTACCCGAGGAAAAGGGGAGGACGGTGCAGAATCAGATCTACACCGTAGCCAGCTGGTCACAAAAAAAAAAAAAACAGAAACACGCACCACACCAACAGTTGACTAAAAACAAGAAAAGGAACGGGGCATGCATGGGCCGCACCAGCAACCTGAAATTTAAAGGGGGCTTAATGCAGGAAGCAGAAAGACATCATAAATACTTACCGGCTGTCCTGGTTGCGAAGCGAGTGCGAAGTCCTCTCCGCGACCGCTCTCAAAAGCTGCCAATGTGGAGTCAGATGCTGCCAACAGAGGACGAGTGAAGGGCGAGAGAGGACGAAAGGATGAGATGAAAAGGAGTGAAGGAAATGCAAAAGAAACTTACCTATGAATTTCATAGTATGAAAGTTGCAAAATCACCACGAGCCAGGGAAGGGGGCGCCTCGATAGGCGATCGATTGGCACTGGACGATAGTGCGATCGATGGGCACACGACAATGGAAATATCGGCCAAGGTGGAAATATCGCAAACGAGCAGGTGGCAACGCCGCACCGTCGGTATCGATATGCGAATAAATATCGATCACGCACGAATGGTGTGACCAGGCGGAGGAGACACGGAATGGAGTGAGACGCAGCAATGAGCACCGAGCTGGGGATCGATAGCCCAGGAGTATCGATGTCCCAGTGGGAACACAGGAAATATCGGCGCGGGAGATTTAAAGTTGCTACGAGGAGGATGACCCCCGCTGTAGAAACTCAAGGGAGTTAAGAGCGTCGAGGGAGCATCGAGGGAGCAACGAGGGAGCGCCGCGGGAATCACAAGGACTCAAAGGCTAGGATAAGCAAGGAAACGCCGGAGAGTAGGAACCAGTCTTAAATGTTTCCCGAAGTAAGGGGGGAATGTGAGGAGTTGAATAACTCCCCACAAATAGAAGCAGCAGCAGATGGCCGGCCGCTTACCAGATACGCGGCGAATTCGCGTAGTAACGGCGCGGCGGGGAGAACGAGAGAGTTTGGAGACCAAGGGTGGAGATCGAGAGAGTTTGGAGACCAACGAAGGAGAGCGAGAGAGTTTGGAGACCAATGAAGGAGAGCGAGAGAGATTGGAGACCAAGGATGGAGAGCGAGAGAGTTTGGAGACCAATGAAGGAGAGCGAGAGAGATTGGAGACCAAGGATGGCGATCGAGAGAGAATGGAGACTTTGCGCGCAGAGCAAGAGTGCCGTATGCAGAAGGGGATAACGGAACTCCACTGGACTTTGGACTCTCCCGTGAACTTTGGACCGGGAGAGGAAGTGCCACATCTCGACAGTGGAGCGGCACGCAGGCGTACCACAAGCGGCACGGGAATCAGCGGAACGGCGGCAGTGGGCGGAACATCTATTGGAAGCGCTACATAAAGGACAAGTGGGTCATCCAGGAGGCACGGACTTTGGACCCAGAGTGGAGAGATCCAGCGGGCCGTGCGCAAAAGGGAAATAGCGGTGCTTGGAGGCCCTATATAAGGCCGCACAGCGCTGGCAGCTGGATCAGTCGATCAAGAGGAGTCAAGCCTTCAAGATCAGTCAAAGTACCAAGTGAGCAATCAGTCAAGCAAGTAATCTACGAGGGAGCTACAACCAAGCGAGTCGTCGGAAGCAGCGCCGTGGGAAGCATAGAAGGAGCAAGATCGCCACGTCGAGACGTTCGGGATTAGGACATCAGGAATCTCCGAATTGAGACACAGGTGGCTGAGTTCTGAAAGGCATCACGCGGCTAAGTCAAGGCGTTTGTTTTCTAACTTTGTCACGACCACACCCTGGCGAGTCGCCCGGCGGGTCTGTCAGAAACAAGCAAAAGAGTCCTACGACGAAGAGCCGTCAGCTTGGGGAGGAAAGTCGTCTGCGACCCAGCGTACCTTGCCCGACCAAGCAGGACCTGGCGTGACGGACGAGCGGTAGATCGATTTGTGGTTTCGAAAGGCGTCAGCCTGGAGAGCCCTGCGAGCAGCGACCGCACAGCTCCCCGAGCGTCAGAACAACGAGACACTGGCCAGAAGACAGCGCAGAGGACATCGACAGCGACGCCAGCAGACATTTCCGGCAGCCACGTTACCATCGCCGCGCGGAGCTCATTGGGGAGCGCAGGAGCGTCGCGGACGTCACGCATTAGGGTGAAGCCGGGTGGAACGTTCGTCTGCGCTAGGCGTAAAGCGAAGTGAACCGCTAGGCAGTCTTGACTGTCAGCGCGAACTGAGCAAGAACCTAGCGGGACCGTCCGGGACAGAGCAAGGGACAGTATTGCCTCGAAAGGCGTCAGCCTGGAGAGCAAGGCTTGTTCACCCTAGTCTGAGAACGGTGACGCTTCCCTAAGCCCACAAGGCCGAATTCTCTGCGGGTCTAAGGCGCGACAAGCGACCCCGAGGCAACGCGTCGGCAAGCAAGCAGAGGCGGCCACTACGAGCGTCCCGAGACCCAGGATCCAGAGGAGGACGAGTCAACGCGTCGAGAAGCCAGAAGGAGGAGCACCAGCAGCCGGCGGAACCAGAACAAGGAGACACAGAAACCAGCATAGCCACACACCCGCTGTACCAATACCACGAGAATAAATCCCACTGTTACCATTTGAACACTTTGTTTTCTCACTGATCTACGGGCAATCACGTCATATAAATTTGGTGGGACGAACACACAATCTTCTGAGCTAGCCGCACGAATCTCGTAGCGAGCAGACATACAAAATCAGTTCGTTACATAGGGTCCGGCACTCGCTCGTCGGCTTTGGGGGTGGAGGTCTTGCGCCTACAGATTCGCGTACTGACTACACATTATTATTACTAAGATCAGAAATAAGCGTGCTAGCGACAAGAGAGAATAGTAAACTGAAACCGGAAGAGAACGATAAATAAATTCAGGAATAAGTATTATAGGGACAGAAAAGATTTGGAGAAAGTTAGCTATGCGAATCCACGGATGGTATTGTGGTTGCGTATGGCCCTCCCAACCTACGATCGCCACCTTAAAGCATGGCTTCGGTGACCCCTTTGATACCCTACGATCGAGAAATCATCAGCTAGTTCAGTTCAATGTTATTTACAGATCCATGGTTTTATTTCTGTTCGAAAAGGTAATTAATTTTCCGTGGATAGCGTTACAAGTCATATTTAATATTTATAAAAAGAACATAGGGTATTTGAAAAAATAAGGCATAGGAAGATAATATTCATGTTATAACAATGTATTTAAGGGCAAATAAACATTTCTCTCATTTCTCTTAGACGCGCGAACGATTTAAACTAAACTTGTAACCCGTACCTAATTCATCGTACTTCCTTGAACGCTTTACAATAACAAATTTCTCACATAAACCTAAAAAAAATCTAACTCTTCTTAAATTAAATTAATGCTTCTCGGCGTGCATTATCTCTTTTGACCCGATCGACTTGTAAATTTCTTTTAATTTGTTAAATATAACTATTGCTTTACATGGCGTTGCCACTTGAGGCTTTACGAAAAATTATTGTTTGCTTTATGGTCTACATATCTTTGATTTCATTGATTTTCTTTTCACATTAATTCTTAAATTCGGTTTCTCAAAGCGCGTTGGTTATATAACAGGGTTAGGACTGATTCAATACGAAAGAGAGTTTTTATCTCCATTAAGGTTAAACCCGGTTGTGCCATGCTAGGTTAAGGCCGTTCACACACGCGGCGCTTTTAAAACATAAACGGGTATAAATCCCTAAATCTGCGGCAGCGATATTTTACTCGGAAACCTCCCAGACGGCTACGCGCACCCCTTAAAACTCGGCTGGTGTACGGATGCGCAGCATGATGGGCATCGGGACAGGTTATATAATTGAATTAAACTGCCATCTGGTCCGCTCTAAGTAAAACTCCACTTCTTGGCCGGCACTACATGACCCGTAGATAGGTAGATAGTAGATGGGGGTACTTCAGGGCACTAGTCTCTCCAAATCATTCCTCGCGGGCCAACCTGACGATTGAGCCCCGATATTTATTTTGGCCTTCTTGAGGTGATAAATCGTCTAGTAAATTGGCCGATTTAATAAGATGCGCCTTTGGCGGCAACTTGTGGCAGCACTGGCTGGGTTTTCCACCCGGAATCTCAAAAAATACTTTAAGCTTTATTCGCTGGCTAGCTTTTATAGCTGGCAGCCACACTGAGTGCTAAACACCACTTAGAATACTGGATGCCACTCAAAAATACTGGATGCCACTCAAAAATACTGGATACCACTCAAAAAATATATATTTCGGACTTTTAGTCTTTTAATTGAAATTTAAATTTTGAGCTGCTGGCACGTCCGTTTCTCTCGCAGGTTAAAATAAGAAGAACTTATCTGGAATCGGCTGGATACCAGCGAGGCTCTTGGCGGAAATATGTATCATATGACGACCGACAGGTGTCAAAACTAGAACTTTCCAAGACCACCCTGGCTCAGCTGTTCAAAACTATATTTAAGCGGACCCTGTATAGTAGGCTTTCAGGCTGAACCTAGGTTCGCCAGTCGCTACAGGCGCCGTTACAGGAAATGGAACTGACCCTCGCCGGTGGGCTTCCGACCTAACTGTCTTGCGCTTTCTCCAAAACTCCTATTTTCCCGTCACCGCCTACCCGTTCGTCAACTGGACTAGCTATCACCCGTGGTGATAGCTGCCAGTTAAGGACATCGGCTGGTTTGGCTCCTCTTGGCATTTCCTTCCCGCCCTCTTTTTCTATTGTTACGAACTGCTTTTTTTTTGGTGGCAGTGCCGCTAGCTCAGTCGTCTTCAGGGCAGAGTACCCCTAATGCCACAGCTCGCAATATAAGTATCGATAACTTCGCGGTCTCACTTTACTAATCTATCGGTCATCACTAAGGGCAAAAACGTAAACAAAGCAAAAATCTACAATTATTGTCGGGAAAATGGATTACATTTGGTGGCTATCGATGTCCTAGCCAAGCGCTCCCACCCAACCATGGATGCCCTCAAGATGCTGCAGGGCACCACCCATTCGCAGTCGGCAGGAGCCCCTTCCTCGCGACTGCGGCTACGGTTCCATCTCCCCCACTGGGAAAGCTTATTCACACATAGTGGGTATTACAAAGGTTTAATAAATATGGTAAGTACAATCATTTATACACATGTTTCTCTTGACAGATTTATCCTTCCTCAGCCTCCAAGACCGAAACCTGGGCGCCGTCTCGGATATTTACGCGGTCAAAGAGGATTTGTTTTGCTGGGAAAGGGTACAGGCGCCGCGGGAACTATGCTCCACCAGCCATGTATTGGTAGAGCTCGCATGGAAACGCGGGCCTCAAGGGAACATGCGCGATGCGCGTGTGTATGGTCACCTAATCCTGAGGAGCTCCAAGGGAAAAGAAGGGACAGGCCAAAAAGGTATGTAAATGCACTGTAAGCTAAACCATTTAACTAATGCTCGCGACCTTTTTAATTTTAGGCAAACAACGAGGACAAATAAGGCTCTCGGGTCTAACTCCGGATAAACTCACAAACAGGTAAGTAGATATCAATATATATAATCGATGTACACGTGTATTTAATTTCTGCCAATTTTCAGCCACAGTTGGGCCGGCCTGGAGGCGATGATTGCCCGGGCTGATGACTTCCCGTCGGAGGCCAGCAGCGATACGGATCTCCACACGGGAAAACGGCGCTCTCCGGTGAGTGGTGCACGGGCAGTCCGAGATTCGGCTGCCAGACAAAATGGCGATACTTCTCAGCGCCGCAATGCGACCGCTGGAAGTTCCCGAGAGGAGGAGGAGGACGCGGTATGCCGGAACGGACTCACCGGGAAGTGTTGACGTCGTCGGCGTCGATTGTAGAAGGCTTTCCTGGTTGGTCGCTGGCACGGGTCGAACGGACACCGGTTGCTGGTCAGCCAAGTCGGGCTGGTAGGTATGTCGAAGTATGGCGATGTCAGTAGAGTCCAAATAAATTCTTCCGGGGCCCTTTGTATTGGGACCCCGGCTGCTATTTAATTTAAGGCACAAAGAAAATTTATACTAGAACTCCTAGCTGCATCTGCCTTGATTGCTGGACATTATGGCCGCGACTATCACGATATCTGCTGATCATCGCCCCCCGCCATATTACATGGCCTCTCTCGACATTGGGTCATTGGATACATGGGCCATTTGAAGTAATCCCAGAGCGAACCGGGATTAATCTTCAAATGGCCAGATCGCCCGCCAGACTCATCCCGCTGCTGCAGCTATCGCCCTATCGACCTAAACTATCGATAACGTCGCTCCCACTCGACTCCATTGCAACATCAACCAAAGATTTCGAGGGGCGCTGCCCGGAGTTTCTGCAGAACGATGAAATAATTGGTAGCTTTGGAGATACGATGGGATTCAACACGGCACTGATACCATCCTGCAGTTCGATCGGCGCCTAACGCGGGGCCCACGCATGACGGGAAGTATTGCAGATGTGATCGCGATGCTAGTATACGGTCACAACCGGATGTCTTTGGCGTGATACACTCCCAGACTGCGGCCTTGGAGATCCTCCAGCAGGTATGCATTGCTGCCGACGGATTTGACCACCCTGGCTTTAAGGAACTTGCCAGCAAACTTGGCGTTGCGGCGGAAGACTTCTTGGCCTGGCTTGGCGAGCAGCGTACGGGCTCGCTTATCGTAGCGCTGCCGGCTCGTCTGGTATGCACCCTCCAGTTGCTCCTGCACCTTGGCGTGGATAACCCGAAGCTTGTCCTTGGTCTGCATTCCGGCCATTTCATGGTCGACCAGAGACCTGAGTCGTCTGGCTAGTTTGTAGCTGGAACCGTTGAGGAACATGTGATGGCCGAATACAGTGAAGAACGGCGCTTCCCCTGTGGCTGAGTGGACAGTGTTTCGGATGGCCACCTCAATCTCCGGAAAATGTGCATCCCATTCCCGGTGATCTTCGTCCAAGAAGCTGCGAATTGCGGCCAAGACGTTTCGGTTTACCCTCTCCGCGGCATTGCTCTGTGGTGAGTATACGGGAGTCCTCATGTGCTGTACACCGAAGCCATCGATCATCTCCTCAAACGCCTTGGATACGATTTGTTTGCCGTTGTCCGAATGTATCGTCTCAGGCACCCCGAACTTGTAAAATACCTCGTTTACCAGGAAATTTACAACGTTCGACGCCGTCGCCTCCTTCATCGCCTTTAAGAAGGTGTACTTCGAGAAGTGGTCCACCACGATAAATATCCAGGCGTGTCCACTCTTGGACCTCGGATACTTGCCCAGGAAGTCGATGTACAGTTTCTGGAATGGCCTCTCCGTCTCTACCCTTCTTCCGATTCCGACCTGCATCCGGAAGTTTGGCGCTTTGGATTCCTTGCACACATCGCAACTCCGGACGTATTCCCGTACCTGGATGGTCATCCCTGGCCAATAGAACTGGCGTCGCAGGATCTCCAAGGTCTTCGTCATCCCACCATGGCCAGCCTTGGGGTCCGAATGAGTACGCTCTACCAAGCTGTGCGTCAGGCTTTTCGGGATCCACAGCTTCCATTCGGATCCTTCCAATTCTTCGTCCATTTTGGGGTTACTCATGCGCTTGAAGATGAGTCCGCCATCCACCTTGAGGTCCGGTAAGTGCTCCCTGTTGGACTCCACGTCTTGCACTAATTCCTTATAGTCCTCCGCAGCAAATTCGGTCGTCTCGAATCCCAGTAACTCCGTTGGATCTATCCGGACTTCCTCGATGATGCGGGATAGGGTGTCGGCGACTACGTTCTCGCTGCCTTTGCGATGTTCGATGCTGAAATCGTATCGTGGAGAGACCACCTTGCGAGTCGTCCGGAAAGATCCTTCATTGTCATCAACCACTTAAGGCTGGCGTGATCGGTAATGCATGTGAAGGGCATCCCTTCCACATACGGTCTGAACTTCCGAATAGCTAGGATGGCCTCCAGACATTCCTTTTCCGTGACCGAGTAGTTAACCTGGTGTTTGTTCATCTTGGCCGAGAAGAACGCGATGGGCTGCTCGTCTCCGTCCTGGTTCCGCTGAAACAATACCGCGCCGACGCCAACGTGGGATGCGTCGCACTGGATGAAGAAATGCTTCTTGAAATCCGCATGAACCAGGACCGGCGCGCTCGTCAAGGCCAACTTTAGGTCATCCACTGCCTGGGTGGCGCTGGGACTTAGGGAAAACTTTGTGTTTCCAGCCTTCTTCAAGGACTCGGAGAGTGGTGCGGTTAGCGTAGCGAAGTTCTTGACGAACCGTCGATACCATCCCGCTGTGCCGAGGAAGGCACGTACTTCCTTCATGGATTTCGGGTAAGGCATCTTCTGGATTGCCGTAACACGTCCAAGATCCATCCGCAGCAGTCCACCTCCGACTATAAACCCTAGGTAAGTCAAAGATTTGAAGCAAAACTTCGACTTCTTTAACCCTATGGTCAATCCGGCTGATTTGAGACTGTGGGCTACCCGACGCAAGTATTTCAGGTGCGTCTGAAAGTCTGGAGCCAGGATTAGCAGGTCGTCCAAGTAGACGAAGACGTTGGATCTAAGCTCCGCTGGTATCACCCGATCCATGAGTCGCACCAAGCGTTGTGCCGCGTTGCACAGTCCGAACGGCATCATTCGGAATTGGTACAACGGCCTGCCTGGAACCGTGAACGCAGTGTACTCCTTGCTCTTCTCATCCAGTTCGATCTGCCAAAATGCAAACTTCAGGTCAAAGCTGGAGATGTAATGCGTCTGATCTATTCTGGAGAGGATTCCTTCTATACTGGGCAGAGGGTATGCGTCTTTGATAGTCAAGGCGTTCAACTTCCGGGCATCCAGGCAGAACCGGTCTTTCCCTGGCTTCGACACCACTGTTGAGCGAGTGCTCCACGGGCTTTTGCTCTCCTCGATGACACCCAGCTCCAACATCTTGTCGATCTCGTCTTCGACCACCTTCTGCTTCGCCGGAGACATCGGATACGAACGATCCTTAAATACCCGAGCTCCTTCCATCAGTTCAATGGAATGCCTCTCCATGCTGGTGACTCCGAGGCCGTCCCTTTCAAAGGTAAGGAACTCCTCCTTGACCTTGCCTAACGCCAGCTTTTCCTAGGCAGAAAGGCTCCAGGATTCCGGTTCCTCCCTTACCTCGTCCTCATCTTCCTGGTCGGCATAGTGTTTCATCTGGCTGGCATGGATTTCCTCCGCTGCCTTGACGCCTCTCGTCGCCGGCTTCCCCACGACGGCTGGAGCTAGTCCGAAGGCTCGCCAGAAGTCGACTCCGAAGTACGCCGTTTGTTCCAGGTATGGGCACAGGTAGAACGTGACCGGCTTACTTACGCCTTTGTACCTCACAGGCAGCTCCAAGCGTCCGATGATGGATCGATCCTCGCCAGAAGCCGTTCGGACTACCGAAAAATACGGTTGGACGGTAACTCCCAGCGTTTCCACGAGCTCTCGACAGTTTTTGCCGCTTTCGGACTGCCCAGCCGACCGTTTTCCGCGCAATCGGGACATTTCGGATAAATTACGCCCGGTCTGCTCGCAATCCTGGAATCCGTGCTCCGCAGCCCGGCAATTCCAGCAACCTGGCCTGAATGGTTTTCGGACACGTCCACGAAGCTCGTCCACTTCCAGGTTTCGCTGCTCGTCGACTTCGTCAACTTGCTCTGCTGCAAGTAAGCAGGGCGCCCTCGACGACCGAAACACTCCTACCGAAGTTCGTCCACCGTGAGTTTTCAGGCGTGAGGCGACTTGTTGCATGGAATGGATGTAGTCATCCGCGCTCTCTCCCGGCTGTTGGTCACGCTGAAGTAGCTCAGGCATCCTTTCGTGGTGACCACGGAACCGATCCATCGAAGCCGTGCGCAGCTGGGCCCAAGTGTCCACTCTGGATTGGCGTACGTGTACCCAATTCCACTCCTTCGCTCTGCCGGATAGGAGTACGTGGAAGTTTCGCAGAACTTCGTTCCACGGACACTGGTGCTGCCACTGCAGGAACTCCTTTCCGCCGAATGAGAGGTTCCAGCGGTCCACTCGGATGTAGCGGTTTCCGTTGCCGGCTCACGCGTTGGCGTATAACCGCGGCTCGTCCCGAAAATACGCCGTCCTCGATGCGCCATGGCCGTGCGTGGCGATCGCTCCTGCCTGTCGGATGATACTCGGGTTCGAGGTCGCTGCCTGGGTGGCAATTCCGGCGGCCTTCGGTAGCATCCTCCTGTATCCTGCCGCTGCTGAATCTCCGCTGGGCCATTTGCGCCGCCTTCTGGACACGACGGGGTGGGCACCATCGACACTTGGCGACTCGTGCTCTCCTGAAGCGGCTGCAGTTTGCTCTCGGCTGGCCTATGGACGTCGTTTAACAACTTGATTTCTTCCCGCAACGCCTGGCTCACTCCTACCTCCTGTGACGCGCGATAGGTTTGGGCAGCCTGTGCCAGAGCTGCGTTCATCGCCGACTCCGCCGCTGTATCCCGTTCCGTGTTCAGCTTTTGTGGTGCCGTCTGCTCCGGAACCAGAAGTCGATCCTGCGCCTCGACGATAGCTTTGAAATCCAGGACCCTGGGCGACCGATGGTGCTCCAGATCCGCCGGTTGATCCCGAATCCGATCCACCGCACTACCGCCTACCGGCGTTCTGGGTAAACCCCCAGCCAGCGATATCCGCGGCAACCCAGCAGCACTCTCTACGTCCGTGGACCAGACATCGTCCTTGTCGTCGCCAGGAGGACCCATCGATCTGAGCTGGTGGCCGTGCCTATCCCTGGCGTCCTTACTTTCGGACATACCTCCCGAGAAATTTTAAATAAATACTTAATAACTACTAATACGCTGATAAATGTGATAAATAAATAAATAAATAAGACAACAAATAAATACTATAATATATAATAAATATCAAAATAAATACGAAAATAACTAACAGCAAAAATAAATAACAATAACCAAATATTCCTCACTATCCAACACCTTTCAAAATCTCCTAAATTTTTTTATTATATTTTTCTTCCTCTACTCTTGATTTGGGGAGATGGAACTGACCCTCGCCGGTGGGCTTCCGACCTAACTGTCTTGCGCTTTTTCCAAAAATCCTATTTACCCGTCTCCGCCTAGCCGTTCGTCAACTGGACTAACTATCACCCGTGGTGACAGCCGCCAGTTAAGGACATCGGCTCGGTTTGGCTTCTGTTGGCTTTTCTTTCCCGCCCTCTTTTTCTATTTTAAATCGAGGTAACCGTGCAGCGCGTAGGGTTGCTACGGGTCACGATTACGCAATTAAGTTCACAACCGACATAAAATTAGAAGTCCAGGACGGGGAGAAAAACCCAGGAACACCACATCCTAACAAAAAAAACATTTCAAATAAATAAATAACAAAATACAAGCTGTTTGTGGGGAAGACAGCAAATATGCCACCCTTATATTTATAATTAATAACGCACGAATAGGTTATATTAAAATGTATAGCGTTTATTCGGAGCGGCAGACGGACTGTGAATGTGTAAAAAGCTTGGCTCCAAGATCTTCATATAGACATATGCAGGCTTACAAAGTAGTTGCTGAATAGATAAGCGACAGCTTTATGGGTATAAGAAAGAAGGCGAAAGATAAGCAGAGAGCGATGCAGGTGCCGTCGTACACCTATGCGCGCATGACTAGGCGCTGGCGATCTGCTCCGAACATACTCCCCCCGTTGGAAGAGGTAAGGTTCCAACTATCTCGGAATCGATGGGCAGAACGGCTAGCTTGGCGACGGCTCTCTTGATCAGACCCGTAGCTGTACGGACCATAGCTACTCTGATGACTCCGTCCCCGCCGGGTATGACTTCTTGGATGCACCCAAGCTGCCATCTCAAGGGTGGAACGTTGTCCTCCTTAAGCAAAACTATGCGTCCAACCTTGATGTTAGACGTTTCGACGCGCCACTTGCTCCTCTCTTGAAGTAGGGACAAATACTCGCTGCTCCACCTTTTCCAGAAATGTTGCTGCATCTGGGTAACCCGCTGCCATCTGCTGAGGCGGTCTTCGCGGAGATGAGTAATGCCAGGCTCAGGAAACTTAGTGTAGCTGGAAACCTTCAGGAAATGCGCCGGTGTTAGCACCTCAAGGCTTTCAGCATTTTCTGAAATTGGACAGAGTGGACGGGAGTTAAGGATGGCAGAAATCTCATATGCAAGAGTTCTTAATTCATCGATGTGTGAAGTGAAGTGAAATTTAGCTGACTTCACAGCGGCCTCCCATAAACCACCGAAGTGCGGGGCACGCGGAGGGATGAACTTCCAATCGATCCCATCAGCTAAACAGACGGAAGATATCGATGCTGTGTGCTGCTCGCTCAAAAAGAGCTCTTTCAGCTCGGCAAGCTCTCTCTTTGCACCGACAAAGTTTGTAGCATTGTCGCTCCAAATGGTACGCGGACTGCCTCTAAGGCTGATGAATCTCCTCAGCGCTGCGATGAAAGAATCCGTCGTGAGATCCTGGACCACTTCCAAATGAGCAGCCTTCGTGGAAAAACAGACAAAGACGGCGATATAGCACTTGTGGGGTGCCTTATTTCTGGCCTCTGCTTTATGATAGAATGGCCCACAATAGTCCACTCCTGTGGTATGAAAAGCTGGATTAGGCTGCACTCTATTTGCTGGAAGGCTACCCATGACGTGCTCCCAAGTAACTGGCTTCATTCGGAAACATCGGACGCATTTGTTGATAACGCTGGCGACGAACTTGCGGCCTCCAATCGGCCAGTACCTTTGCCGTAATGCAGCAAGCAGCGCCTGCGATCCTCCATGCAAATA